CACCTGTCTCTCACTTGTCTCTCACCTGTCTCTCACCTGTCTCTCACCTGTCCCCCACCTGTCCCTCATCTGTCCCTCACCTGTCTCTCACCTGTCTCTCACATTTCACTCAACTGTCTCTCACCTGTCTCTCACCTGTCCCCCACCTGTCTCTCACCTGTCTCTCACCTGTCTCTCACCTGTCACTCACCTATCTCTCAAATTTTACTCACCTGTCTCTCACATTTCACTCACCTGTCTCTCACCTGACTCTCACATTTCACTCACCTGTCTCTCACCTGTCTCTCACCTGACTCTCACCTGTCTCTCACCTGTCTCATGTCTCCTCAGCAGCAGAGGTGGACAGTCAGGACAGCAGCATTATGACGGACGCCGACGACACGCAGCTCCACACGGCTGAGAGCGACGATGTCCTTTAGCCCCGCCCCTTGTCTTTGCCCCCAGGATTTCCGTTGCTAGGCAATATGCTGATGGAGAAATGTTGAGTTTAGCTCCACCCAGCCCCTCCCCTTTTATCCCCTGACTGGCTGAAACGGACTGCTGCTGATCTTAAGCCCCGCCCCCTCACCTTCTGACATCACAGCTGTTTTTTTTTTATTGTTCTTTTTATTTTGTTTGTTTTGTCCTCCCAGAAATAAACCAATAAAAACTTGTAAACTTCACAAACTGCTGCCTTTTTTCTTTTGTCAGCTTAAACTTAACGTGTTTCTGGATGAACCTGAACACAGAAAATCTGTCACATGACTTCCTGTTCCTCTTCTTACCTCATTAAGCCCCGCCCCAAGCAGTTTGCTCCAGAACAAGGAGCTCACCTGTGGTTCTTCTGAGGTGAGTAGAATTCAAGTGTCCGTGCTTGGACGTGTGGGGTCACCATTTAYTCACCGTTTGTTCACAGGAGAACCGTTTCTAATGTGAGAACTTKAAAGTGCCTGTGACATGCAAATCCATGAAGTACAACAAGTCGAAGAAAACATCTTTATATTTAAGAAACTTGGCATAATACACGATGTTAGCCTTTATGTCACATAACGGCATATTTTCTTCTGAACTTGGCTCACCTGAAGTAAAACAGGAAGTGACATCAAAAGGGAACCTTTGAGAAAGAAAACTCCCTGGGTTTTGTTCACTGAAACATGATTTGAACTCTTTTTTTTCTCATTYCTCTATGATAGTGATAAAAATCATAAACATCAGATTCTTCTCTACAGTGTGTTGTCTTTGTAGCAACGTTCTGTTCACGTTCAGACATTCCTCTTTGACATCACTTCCTGTTATTTCACGAGAATATCTCAAACTGTTCGTCTCAGCAGCATAAAATCTTTTTTACAATTTGTTACCAATGATATTTTTTTCAAAAATGCATTCATATTTTTATAAAATTTSATGTCACAAACACTTTCATCTATGATCCAATTTCTTTATTTATTCGCTTAAATACTTCAATTGTTTAATATTTGRTGTTTGACTTTTAGAACCCATAGATTCACAGAAAATAAAATTGTAGATCCAAAGTGATTACCAAACAGCTGCTAGTCAGAGTTGTAAAGTAACTAAGWACAAATACTTCTTTACTGTACTTAAGTAGGATTTTTGGGTATCTGTACTTTGCTTGAGTAATTATATTTCAGCCTACGTTTTACGTATACTACTTACATTTTTAAAAAAGACAAGAAGTAGAAAGTTGTTACTTTTATTTCCTTTTTGCTTGTTTTCATTCCAGCTTGTTATT